TAAAGGGTTCAAACCCCTTCCCACAGCTGCACTCCCCAATTCCTGTTCTTATATAGAAACTTCCCAACGAGCTAAGACACAAACTCTGACCATCACTTCTTAAACTCTTACAATTCTGGTTTCTTAGCACGCCAGGCTATGTACAAACTACCCATATGGTCTGTCTTGTTTTAGCTGAAAAATACAAGTAATATTTTTAACTCTAACTTTATTATGTCTGAAGCGAGGTTCTTGGAGCCTCCATGGAAACGCTGGTATCTGGGATTGTGTTTTTTTTAACTTTCACGAGAACATTTACTGCTTCTCTCTGGCATCCAAGACTTTTATTCACTAAAAGCACTTAAAACTTCTTCTACTTACTTATTTACTTACTCACTTGCTTATACTTAAACATTTCACCTCTGCCTTATGGCTTAACACACTTCAATCCATTTAAAGGCTTGAATTCAATCCCCTGCACTCTTGATTTCTCTCGGAAAAACTCCTGACTCGCTGACTCCAGCCCTGCTGCTGGCTCTCCATGGATATTTTTTATTTTTTTATTTTTTTTTTTTGGCTGTTTCCCCGGCAGGTATGGGCAGCTGAGTGGGATGGTGGAACCCCTGGCTGGTGTTTTGGGAGCCTTTGCCGTGGTGCTGGTGGAGCCTGTGCTGCCCTACGCCCTGGGCTTTGCTGCTGGAGCCATGGTGTACGTGGTGATGGACGACATCATCCCCGAGGCACAGAGCAGGTGAGACCCCCCCGGCTGCTGGAAGGTTTGGGGGGTTTTGTTTTCCTCGTTTTAATGTATTTTTTATATGGGATAAGTGTGAGGTTAACACGTCTGGGTGCTCTCAGGCACCCAACTTGTCGGGTTGTTTTCTCAATGAGCCAAGCAGAGGATAGTGGCTGTAAAGTTGTTTATGGCAGGGGTGCATCAGTCTGAAAAGCAAAGGCAGAGCAAAGGAAAGCAAGGGCAAAATGCAATGGCATGAAAATCAAATGGCAAAGTGCAATGGCATGAAAATCAAATGGCAAAGTGCAATGGCAAAATACAATAGCAAAATGCAATGGCAAAATGCAATGGCAAAATGCAATGGCATAAAAATCAAATGGCAAAAATCAAATGGCAAAAATCAAATGGCAAAAATCAAATTGCAAAAATCAAATGGCAAAAGGCAATGGCAAAATGCAGTGGCATAAAAAATCAAGTGGCAAACTGCACCAGCTCTCCCTGCTGCATGTTCTTTTAGAGAAACTTCCCAACAAGCTGAGACACAAAGTCTGACCATTATTTTTTAACCTGTTAAAATTCGGGTTTTTTAGCACGCCAGGCTGTGTATAAACTATGTACATGGCCTATTTTATTGTAACTGAAAAATGTAAGTGGTGTTTTATACTCTGTTATGTCTGAAGAGAGGTTCCTGGAGCCTCCATGGAAACGCTGGATTGTGTTTTTTAACTTTCACTACAACATTTACTACTACTCTGAGATCTGAGAACTTTATTTACTAAAAGCATTTAAAACTTATTTCACTCACTCACTCCCTCATGCTGAAACCTCAATTTTAACATCCTTCAATCCACCCAGAGGTTTTTATTCCACTCTGATTTCTCTGAACGATTCTGATTTCTGACCCCAACAATTAAGCTCATTGCTTTAAGGGAGGCAACACTTTTTGCAAACATGCTTTTATTAAAATATTTTGGTTTTCACACACTCCTCCTGTCCACAGCACCAGGTGCTAAACTTTGTTATTAATTCTTTCTCTTCTGTTTTCTTTTTGAGTAGCTTTTGCAGGTCAGAGGAGTTTGGGTTATTGGGTTAAAAGTGGAAATAATGTAGGTGTTAGCTCTTTACTGGACTGTTCAGCTGTAAAAAACCTTGTAACTGGCCGGGTTCAGCTCCATTGTGCTCACTTTTAGATGGTAGCTATATATTAAAAAAGAAAAATATAAATATGAATATGAATATAAATATAAATATATATAGCTATATAACTATAGCTATAACTATAACTATATAAGTATATATAACTATAACAACTATAAATATATAAAAAAATAAAAATAAAAATAAAAATAAAAATAAAATTAAATATATATAGCTATATAGCTATAGCTATAACTATAACTATATAAATAACTAGAACTATAACAACTATAACTATATAAAAATAAAAATAAAAATTAATATGAATATGAATATAAATATATATAGCTATATAACTATAGCTAAAACTATATAAATATAAATATATATAACTATGTAACTATAACTACATAACTATAAATAACTATATAACAACTATAAATATATAAATGTAAAAATAAATATAAATATGAATATAAATATATATAGCTATATAACTATAGTTATAACTATAACTGTATAAATATAAAATATATAACTATATAACTATAATGATAACAACTATAAATATATAAATATAAATATAAAAATAAAAATAAATAGAAATAGAAATAGCTATATAACTAGGAATAACTATAACTGTATAAGTATAAATAACTAAAATTATAACTATAACTAAACTATAACTAAACTATAACTATAACTATAAATATAAATATAAATATAAATATAAATATAAATATAAATATATATATATATATATATATAAAAGATAAAAAACTATCTATTTTAAAACTATATTCTGCAGCTGGTAGCTGCAGCACTCCCCACTTCAGATAAGATTTAATAACCAACCGAGCCGTCCCGGGAGAAATCCGTGTTTTAATGGTGACTCTGATGAGCCGATCCAAATGCGTGTCCCCCCCGCGTGTCGCTGCAGTGGCCATGGCAGGCTGGCATCCTGGAGCTGCGTGCTGGGCTTCGTGGTCATGATGTCCCTGGACGTGGGGCTGGGCTAGGACAGAGCTGCCATCCCAGCAGGACACGGCAGAGCCTCAGGACACCGACACGCCCCAGCCCGCCCCTGCAGCTGGACACAGAAATTATTATTTTTATTTTTTTTTTGGGGGGGATCTGGTTTGGTGTTGATTTCCTCTGATTTTTGTATCTCCCCTCCTTTTCCCTCCCTGCGAGTTTCCAAGCACGAACGTGGGTGGGTGTTCCCAGATCCTCGTTTGGATTTTTGGAAGGGGCGTTGGGTGATGCTGGGATGGTTTCTCCAAGGAAAGAAATTGGGATTTTGGTCCTCTCTGTTCTGTCGGGGGTTGGGAATTCTCCCTGAGCATTGAGGCATTGAAATGGAGGCAGCTCCTTACGGAGTCTGGAATTCCACCCTTTTTTTGGGAAGGGTGATAAGGCAGGGGATCACAGGTCCCCCACACCCTGCTGCCCCTCGGGAATGCTGCAGGGAATTGGTTTGGATGGATGGAGATTGTCCAGGCAAATAAAGATGAATTTTCTTGGCATCTCTGCAAGAGGAAAATGTCTTTTATTTTTTTTTGCTTTTCCCTAAATGTATCTGGGAGGGGCCCAGCTCCAATGTTCTGTGTGGGTTTTCTGTGGGAAGAAAAGCAGGAAAGGAGGATTTGTGTCCTCCGTGCCAGGCAGGCTGGGAGCTCCACACTCTCCCTGCCGGGCTGCAATTCCATGTGCAGCAATTCCCGAGGGATTTGTGGAATTCAGGATCCAGAACTCCCCGCAGAGCCAGGCCAGGCTCATCCTGCTCAGCCCTGACCTGCAGGAAGAGCAGGAGCCAAAATTCCGGGATGGATGGATGGATCAATTCTTCATTATCCCACCTGGAGAGCCGTGCACGGAGTTCCTGCCTCTTCTCCTGATGCTTCCCAGGAATTTTTTGTGGAATGGCTCTTCCTGAGCATCGAGGATTATCCAGGCTGATCCGGGCTGTGCCTCCAGGGAGGAGGGAATTGCCAGGCTTGGAATGATGCTGCAAATCCCAGCACAAAGAGAGTCCCTCAACCCTCCTGTGGGAATAACTGGATCACCTGGCTGTCCCCTGTCCCTCTGGAATTGGATCACCTGGCTGTCCCCTGTCCCTCTGGAATTGGATCACCTGGCTGTCCCCTGTCCCTTTGGAATTGGGGTTGGGATGCCCCAGATCCAGGTTCAGTCCCATCGGAACCAAAGGGAACAGGTTGGAATAAGCTGAGCTGTCCCTTTCTGTTTGATCCTTGATTTTTTTTAGTTGGATTTCCTGTGTGTGTCCCTCTGGATGATCCAAACTCCCATTTGCTGATGGATTTGACCTTTTAACTGTGATTGCTTTCAATAAATGGGAAATGAGGTTTGCACGGAGTTGTTTCAGTGCCATAAATCCACGGATTTGCTCCTCCTGCCCCCACTCTGCAGGGTTTCCTTTCTCCAGCCTCGCTCCTCCTGGCTTTCCAAGCTCCTCCTGCTCCTTGGCTGGGCAGGCAGATTCCGTGGGGGTGGGAAAAGAGGGGGAAGAGCCAAGGAAAGGCAATTTCACCTTGGATGTGCATCCCTGGGGCTGAGCACAGGGGAAATTTGGGAATTCAGCCTTCAGCAGGATAAGCAGGGGGTGTCAGGCCCTTCTTTTAAAAAGGTGAGAGCTCTCCCTGCATCCCAGGGCAGGAGAGGGAATCACTGGAATTCCAATATTCCATTCCCAAGGCTGGAGCATCTCCCACTGCTCTCCTTAATTCCACCCACACTGAAGGGGCTGCAAAGCTCTGAGCCCTCAGCCTTAAAAACCCAAACCTTAAAAGCCCAAAGCCTTAAAAACCTTCAAATCCTCTGGGCTGTCCACAGCTTGGGATTCTCCAGCCTGGCAGGGATGTTTCCTGCTTTAATTCCTGCTGTGTGCTGCCAGCTGGTACCAAAATAAAACCATTAAAGGCAGCCTTGTAATCAGATTTCTGGGAGATAATGCCAAATAAAACATTTAATCCTGCTTGGATGCAGCCAGGCCAGATGAGGATGGATCCCTAGGGAAAGATGCAGAAATCTCAGAGGATTTCGAAGAATCTCAGAGGAAAATCCCACTTTTCTGTTTCCTGGAGGGGAATGAAATTATCTCCCTGTTCCTTGGTGTGAGGGGAAAGCTGGCACAGAGCCCAGGCCTGAAATTACCCCTGTGGACAAGAAATATCCATGGAAAAAATGGGATATGGGAGAGCAGAGGGAATAGAAACACCCAGCCATGGTCTGGGACACTGAGATGGGCTCTGCTCCTTGGCTGGAGGGAAAAGGGGAAAATGATGCCATGGGGGAGATGGGGTTTGGGATTCTGGGGGGGTCAGGATGGAGCCAAGGGATTGCTGTGGTCCCTGGAAATCAGGGAGATGAGCCCTGCATCCCCAGCCATGGTTCATCCCTCCCTTCCCACCCTTTTCTGGGAACACTCAGCCTTTGGAGGGGTTGGAAATGTCCTGTGAGCTGCCTGCAAGCAAAATTTTAGCTGGGGATCTCTCCTCCTTCCCCATCCCTTACTAATTTTTTAATAAAGCCTTTAAATTCTTGAGTTTGGCCTTAAAATCATCATAAATGTTAGCACTGGTTGGAGGGAAACTTAAACTGGGACCCCTCTGCAGTTAAAACTTCAACCCCCACCCTAAATAAATTTACTTTTCTTTTGATGAGGTTTAAAATCACCCCCCAAACCCCCAGCCTGTATTTGTGGCCTCTTTGCTGCTGATTTCGTCTTTTTTTTGGGGGGGGGTTTCCAAGCCCTGCTGATGAAGGGAATGACCTGAGAATGGGAAAATAATGAGAAATAATGGGGAAACAATAGGGAAATAATGGGGAAATAATGGGGAAATCCCCCAATTCCTCCCAGCCCCCAGGTGCCTGTGCTTGGCACTGGAGCTGCTCTGGTGCTGCCTGTGCACGAGCTGCTGCTCCCAGGGCTTGGCCAAGCACCGTGCCTGTGGAAAAGCCCAGGAATGCAGGGCTGGGTGGATTCTCCTGCTTTTATTGTGTTGTTTTTTGGTTGTTTTTTCTTTTTTGTGTGTGTTTCAGAGGCCAAACCATGGAGGTGCTGCCTGGTACCAGCACTGTCCGTGACTGGTGAGGAAATTGTGGAGGAACCCCCAGGGAAATTCCTCTGGAGCCTGGAGGGATGAGCTGGGCTTGGACTGAAATTTCCCTTTCCCTTTCCTTTCCTTTCCTTTCCTTTCCTTTCCCTTTCCCTTTCCCTTTCCCTTTCCCTTTCCCTTTCCCTTTCCCTTTCCTCAGGGTGGGATTGTTGGGGTGTCTGGGCAGGGATTGGATTGGGTGATCCCTTTAGGATTGGGTGATCCCTTTAGGACTGGGTGATCCCTTTAGGATTGGGTGATCCCTGTAGGACTGGCTGATCCCTGTAGGATTGGATGATCTCTGTGGGATTGGGTGATCCCTTTAGGACAGGATGATCCCTTTGGGACTGGCTGATCCCTGTGGGTCCCTCCCAGCCCATTCCCGTTTCCCGCTGCTCCCTGGCGCTGACTCAGGGCTCAGGATCGGCTCTCGGGGAGGAGCGGGGCTCTCCCGGCCCGTGCCGGGGGCTGGGAAGGCGCAGGCGGCTGCGGTTTGCAGGGCAGGGCGGGGACACCAACCCCAAGCCAGGCTTTGCACGCAAAGGAACAATAATCCCATTATGAGCCCCGGGGCGAGCGCGCCTGGAGCCGCTCGCGGGGCGAGGAGCGAGCCCGGGGCGGATCGCGACACCTGAGTCACTGCCTGGAAAAGGGGGAAAGCAGGGACGGGATAACGGGGTGGGATAATGGGGTGGGATAACGGGGTGGGATGGATTTCACCTCCCTGCCCTCCCCTCGGCACGGCAGCAATGCCGACCTGCTCACGGCACACAATGATTTCTGCTCTTCGTGCGGGGCTTTGTTGGGCTTGGCAGCCGCGCTGCGATTAAAGCCGAGCTGCTCGTGCTCGCCTGCCCCTCCCCAGCCCTCCTGAGAGCCCCAGTCCCAGTTTAGAGTTTCCAGTCCCAGTCTCAGCCTGGAGCTTCCAGTCCCAGTCCCAGCCCCAGTTCCAGTTCCATTCCCAGTTCCAGTCCCAGTCCCAGTCCCAGTCCCAGCCTGCAGGTTCCAGTTCCTCCCTGCCTCAAGGACCAGCCTGGGTTTGGGGGGTGGAGGAAACACCAGGAATTTGGGTTCAGGGTGTTCTTTTCCCAGGGCAGATGTTGTGTGGGTGTTGTTGAGGTTGCAGAGGAGATTTCAGAGAATTCTGGGATGGTTTGGGTTGGGAGGGACCTTAAATCCCATCGAGTGCCACGACAGGGACACGTCCCCCTATCCCAGGGTGCTCCAGCCTGGCCTGGGACAATTCCAGGGATCCAGGGGCAGCCACAGCTGCTCTGGGAATTCCATTCCGGGGCCTCTCCATTCTCCGAGCCAAGAATTCCCAATTCCCAAAATCCCACCCAGCCCTGCCCTCTGGCAGTGGGAGCCATTCCCTGTGTGCTGTCCCTCTGTCCCTTGTCCCCAGTCCCTCTCCAGCTCTCCTGGAGCCCCTTCAGGCCCTGCCAGGGGCTCTGAGCTCTCCCCAGACTCTTCTCTTTTCCAGGCTGAACAATCCCAGCTGTGAATTTAATCCCAGTTATTTTTCAGGTATTTATTGGCTCTCTCTCAGTAGGTTTGTTGAGCCAGCCCTTGAACAGCTCCGTGCTGGATTCCTGGGACTGCAACTCATGGATGAGCTCCTGCTTCCCTTTTTCTTGGTTGTTTTACCTAAAATCCTTCATTTCCACCATCTCGGGGGGATGTTCTCCATGTGCTTCCTTAGGAGATTTCTGGGGTTTGTGCCTCAGAATCCTCCGAGGGGGATCTCAGGAGCAGGAATTGGAGCCTGAGGGTTTCTTTGAACATAATCTTACAAAATGCTGATGATAACTGAAAAGCTTTCGTGTCCAGGGCTGGTTCCTGGGGGGAATTGTTTCAACCCCTGCCTGGTGCCTGTCGTGTTCCTACAGGAACGAGGGAAATGTTCCTGACCGAGCTCCCAGCTC